GTTATCTTTACAACATGCTCTTAAGGAAGAGAAAGATGTCAGGGGTATTTTCCTTGTATCCTGTCAGAGCAGAGAGATCAACAAGGAAATTTGGTGCGAGTTCATACACCCATTCCATTTAAGCAATTGAAAGAATTGAAAATGGCTTGCACTCAGTATGGTCCAACTGCTCCATTCACACATGCAATGTTGGAAGCCATGGCTACTGATGTTCTTCCTCCTGGGGACTGGAAAGGTATAGCTAAAGCCTGCCTCTCAGGTGGGAATTATTTGTTATGGAAAACTGAATTTACAGAACATTGCCAGGCTACAGCAGAGTTAAATTGTACTCAAAATATTCCCATTACTTTTGAAATGTTGGCTGGAGAGGGACAATATATGGATGTTAATCAACAGCTTAACTTTAACATAGCTGTGTATGCACAAGTAAGTGCCGTGACTAGGAGAGCACGGAATAAACTACCCTCTGCTGGGAAACAGACAGAGGACTTATCTAAGATCAGACAAGGACCAGATGAGCCTTTTCAGGATTTCGTAGCCCGTTTACTACAGACTGCAGGAAGACTGTTAGGAGAAAGTGAAGCAGGACTTTTGTTGGTAAAGCTACTTGCTTATGAAAATGCGAATTCAGCCTGCCAAACAGCTATCTGTCCTTTCAGAAAGAAAGGTGGCCTGTCTGATTATATTAGATTGTGTGCAGACATTGGCCCATCGTACACCCAAGAGCTAGCTATGGCTGCAACTTTGCAGGGTAAAGCAGTTAAGGAAGTACCAACAGGTTAAGGGACGTGGGAACAGAGTCAAGGGACCTCCTGGCAACTGTTATAATTGTGGTCAAATGGGTCACCAGGCAAAACAATGTCCAGTTACAAGACAGAGACCCCAGAGAGAGCCAGACTTATGCCCAAATTGTAAGAGGGGAAAACATTGGGCTTATCAATGTTGGTCAAAAAGGGACAATTTAGGAAATCCTATTGTACCCCAGTTGGGAAACGGGAAAAGGGGCCAGCCCCAGGCCCCTCAACAATGTTATGGGGCCATGCCGACCCAAACAAACAATCAAGTCATTCCACCACAGGTAAACAGTTCATACTAGACTCGTGCGGGCCACCCCAGGTAGCGTAGGAGTGGACCTCGGTTCCTCCACCTACACAGTACTGACACCAGAAATGGGAGTTCAGGCCTTACCTATGGGGGTCTATGGTCCTTTACCTCCTGGATCTGTTGGTCTGATCTTAGGAAGATCAGACCAACATGATCTTCCTAAGGGGACTTATTATTGCCCCAGGGGTTATAGATTCGGATTTCACAGGAGAAATAAAAATTATGACATCATCTTACCAAATTTCAGTCCTTCAACCTGGTCAATGTATTGCTCAGATTCTGTTAATTCCTGTAATGAACACAGCTAATAAATCAAAGAAATCTATTTGTGGTGCTGAGGGATTCGGCTCCTCAGATGCATACTGGATTCAGGAAATAAGTAAAGATAGACCTGAATTAAATTTATGGATTAATGGGTGACAATTCTGAGGCCTTTTAGACACTGGTGCTGATGTTTCTGTCATTACAGCTGTTCAATGGCTGCCTAGTGGGCCAAAAACATCTACTATGTCTCAGTTACAAGGCATCGGCCAGACACAAAATCCTGAACAAAGTTCAGATGAATTAACCTGGGTGGATAATGAAGGGCATCAAGGAACATTCTGCCCATATGTAGTCCCAGCGTTGCCTGTGAATTTGTGGGACAGAGATGTCATGGCTAATACGGGAGTGTACTTGTATAGTCCTAATTCGACTGTCACAAATCAATTGTTGTCACAAGGTTTACTCCCAAATCAAGGTTTAGGAATTCAAAATCAAGGTTCTTTACAACCTCTAAGTCCACAAAAACTGCCTCCATATGCTGGGTTAGGGTATTTTTGATGGAGACCACTGACCAACCTGTACCCCAAGTAGATCCCATAGTATGGAAATCTGACTGTCCTGTGTGAGTGGATCAGTGGCCTCTTAGTGCAGAAAAAAATGTGGCAACAGAGCAGTTAGTACAGGAACAGCTCGTTTTAGGACATATAACTGAATCTACTTCCCCGTGGAATTCACCCATCTTTGTAGTAAAAAGAAATCAGGAAAATGGAGGCTCTTACAAGACCTCTGAAAGGTCAATAAGACTGTGGAACTTGGGAACCAGCAGTTAGCATAATGGCTATGTCGCTGGATTCCCACGTAGTCGACCGTGGTTCACATCCCGGACCCAGTGGCTTAAAACTCACGCTGGGCGCGTGTGCGTGTGTGCCCAAGATCCCAAGAGTAGAATGGAGGAGAAGGGATTGCGGCATGACCATCCCCCCTGGGGGGGTGATTTTCTCGCTTTCTGTCTCTATGTCTCTCTCTGTCTGTCTGGCGAGCGCACGTGCCCTAGAGTGAAAACGTCTCAAAAAAAAAAAAAAAAAAAAAAAACCATGGAACTCAAGG